TGTATATATTTATTTATATAAAAATATACATGTAAAAATGGTTCACATATATCATATATATAGGTATATGTATATATCTTCCATGTGCAATCCATAAATACTAAATACATATATGTATAAATAGAACACTATGGGGGAAGCTATGTAAAGTAATAAGTGGTTGTATTGAGAAAAGCATATTAATAGAGATGCAGAGTGAATACAAACTTGTATAAAATCAGCAGTATTAAGAAGCATAGAAAAGCAAAGCAAAGTAGTGAAGTTAATATAAAATACCAGTATTATAAAACTCATATAAAATGATATTAAATGTGCATGGTTAACATTGTAAATATTATACAGCGTGGCAGTTTGGTATGGTAACCTCTAGAGTATTTTCAACTCAGAAACATTTATATACCTATATCTTATTAATACCATATAATTTTCACATTTCCTAAGAAGTTGTATTCAGAATTACCCTATGAATTCTGTGTACTCCCAATAGCAATTTCATTGAAGATAGCATAAAATATAGATTATATTTTATATATCTGACACCTTAGCAACCATTGAACACTTAATACACAAGCAATGATGATACTAGAATTATTTTCTTTATAGAATAACTAATACACTGAATTGCTCATTCAGATGGTATCATGCAAAATTGTTACTTGTATCAACTGAAATAGTAATAGGCATAATTCAAATGGTAAAAATTCAGTTACTTACAAAATGCAATTTATATTTGTTTTCAAAACTATTTTAAATGCCTTTATTAGAATACTGGTATAACCTATATTTTGAAAAGAATCATGAAACCATACTCTGAAGGTATGTTCAAAATAAACTGAAATGTTTGCAATTATCTCTTCCCCTTGTCCTCTTGTTCAATTCCACTCTGTGTGTCACTCTATTTCAGAAAGAGGGAGAATTTTCAGCTTCTATGTTTTCTTAGATAAATTTTTTTACAGCTCTTTCTATAATATAGTGTATACCATCAGTTAATAGTATTTCCTTAGATAGTTTTAATGATCAGTTAGCATCTTTAAGAGAGCAAAAAATGCACAAAATAAAGGGAATAAAAAAAACCAGTTTCAGAAAATGAATACATAAGATATCAGAAATAAGGCTTTGATGAGGTTGGCTTATTGCAAGCTGAGGAAATGGGTGTGGGTGTGAAAAGCAGTCTCGAAGATGTCCTCCAATGATCCCACTTTGGGATTCAAGCCCTTGCGTGGACTAGACTTACTCACTTCTAAAAACAGAAATATGGCAGAAGTAATGGGCTGTCACTTGCGGCATGAGGTCATAAAAAGGCTGAGGCTTCCATTTTGAGAATTCTCTGAATGACCTCTTACATTCCCTGAATCATTCTCTGAATGATTCTTAGATTCCCCTGAGGGAAGCCAGCTGCCAGTGAGGCAGTAGTGTAGACAGGCCAACGTGAGAGGGGACTGAGATATGAACACGACCAACGATATGAGTGACCTTGGAAGAGGATGTCCTCATCCTTCCCTTCTTCCGTACAGTTGAGTTTTCACATGAAATCAGCCTTGGCTGGCACATTGACTGCCACTACATGAGAGATCTTGAGTCAGAGGTACTCACCTGAGCTGTACCTGCCACACACCACTGTTTCTCAGAGAAACTGTGAGAGAGGACATGTTTGTTGGCTAAGCCATCAGGTTTTGAACCCATTTATTATATAGCAAAAGACATGCAGAGGCAAGCCTATGCAGGGAACTACCAGGTACGAGTCCCGCAAGTCTGGCTGTGCAAATCGAAATCAACCCAATTCTAGGTTGATGCTACCTGGTGGCGGTCGTCTACTCCAGATTAAATATTGATGGGAATCATAGAATTGTTGCTTTCTGGGCCTTTCGGGACGGTGGCGATCATCACCCAACACATCCTACTCCACCCTTTACCCCTAGGAAGTCATTTGCCAATCCAGCTCTATACCCATCCACAGGGAAGATTTGTCTCTGCTTGAGTCCTGCATTGTTTTCGATCCTCTGTAATTCTCCAGCTTGCACTTTTTAAATGACTCAAACTTAAATTACGTTTAACATTGTATATAAAGATACGAATCATCACATGAGAAGTTAAAGGTGATAATACATCTTATTTTTTTAGCAACATGTTATAACAAGTACTGTTGCAACAATATTCTTACAGAAAAAGAGTAGATCCTAGCCAAAAATCCTATGTGTTAACTCTGTATCTGAAACCATAAAATTCAGTACTATAGAAATATTTGATTCCTTCCTTGGTATATACTTGAAACACACTCTGTATTTATTAGCTATAGTTAAATTCCATAAAAAACAATTTTTCTTTCTTGTCACAAAGACAAAAGAACACAACAATAACCCTTAAAAAAAAACAGCAAGAATACAATCATTGACAGAATTCTTAGACGGAAGTGATAAGTACCTGACACTGCTTCCTATCAATGGGTGGCAGAATTTCAGATTGAGGAAGGGAGCGGGCACTCGTACAAGCCAGCTGGTTGCTAATGTTGACGTCGCGCTTCTGCTTAACTTTAGGCCTTTGGCTTATTAAGGGCTTTGCCTTCTGTAACCGCAATTCCCATGGATCGGGATCTTTTCTGAATGGTGAATTGTATATACCTGGAATCTGAAAAAAAGAACATAATGTTGATGTTTATCTTCAATTTTCACACGACTTAAAAGTAAGATAAAACTGTATCATAAAAATTGTCATATGTTTAAGGGCTATTTTACAGTAGAACTCTAGTTTTTAACTAGAGGCTGACTTCAGATTCATCCAAGGAGATTGCAAGGTACTCATTTTATCTCTACTCCAGACTAACAATTTCAGAATCATTCATAGTTAAAGACTACACATGTTAAAAACCACTGAGCTATAAAGTCGGTTGAGCACTGACTTCAGCTCAGATCATGATCTCATGGTTCGTGAGTTCAAGCCCCCCATCGGGCTTGCTGCTGTCAGCTCAGAGCCAGTTTCAGATCCTCTGTCTCCCTTTTTCTCTGCCCCTCTCCTGTGCTCTCTCTCTCTCTCTCTCAAAAAGGAATAAACATTAAAACAACAAAAAACAGCAACAACAACACCACACTCAGCTATAGCTTCTATCTGGCACATATGGCGTATTTTATACAAAAGTATTTAAGAAAACATAAGAGAAAGACATTAAGTCATTGTTTCTGTCTTCTGAGTACTATGTATACATAGATTTAATCATACCATTCACTTACACGACTCAAATATGCAATGGTTGAACCAGTTTCAGGCACAAAGTATGCACTCAATAAATACATGTTTTAATGATTATGTATTATACAACCTATTTAATGGCAGCTATTTTAAGTTCTTCACTTTAAAATAATAAACTGGTTTTTCTATTAGGTGTTATACTTGCGTAGTGTCGTATACCCTTAATGTTCTTTCATTGACTTGGTCACACACTGTATCAAAATAGTCCACTTACTTATTAGCACAGCGCCTGCTATGCAATAGAGGTTCAAGGGAGGTGTGTGCAACAAATGTTAAATTCAAGTATAGCAGATGTTCATTCTCTGAAAATTCAGTGGTGTTTGAGTTTACAAACTGCATAGAAGTTTGACACTTTTTTCGTACATACAAATGCATAACCATAAGGACAAGTTACATTTTAAAGGATAGTATGACTTGTTTGGTTTCTGTGTAGATACTCTAGACTAATGGAAAGAATGTATCCATTAAACCCATATAGTTTTTCCTATAATGTGCTTTTCTCTCATGTCACCATTATGTGCATACACTTTTCTGTTCACTATAATTACCTGACGGAATCAGCAGCTCCAAAGTAGTATCATTACCTTAGATTGCTGTCTTTGAAAAAACATCTTAAGAAAATTTTATATATATTTTTAAATTTTTAATGTTTTATTTATCTTTGAGAGAGAGACAGAGACAGAGACAGAGTATGAGAGGGGGAGGGGCAGAGAAAGAGAGGGGGACACAGCATCTGAAGCAGGCTCCGGTGTGGGGCATGATGCTCGTGAACTTCAAGATCATGACCTGAGCCGAAGTCGGATGCTGAACCAACTGAGCCACCCAGGCGCTCCCCCAAATTTTGTATTTCCAGGCTAATACTTCAGTTCAGTGTTAACCTTTGTCCAAAACCAGTTGAGGCTACAGTCAGTGTCCTATCCCTAATGCCTCATTAATAACCTGGGACAATTCCCTCACAGTTCCTACCCACCTACCACATTGTTTCATAATTACCTTTGTCTGTATAGGTCTTCCCCAAACCAGCAGCTGGAGCACAGAGCTCTGTTAGGTATTTTTGTATCCCCACGGCCCAGTAGGGTACTTGGCACATAGTAGACATTCAAAAAACGAATGCTATCAAAAAACGAATGTGGTTATCGAGAACAATGATGCACTATTCAGAAAGGCCCATGAAGCCTCTCTTTTACGCTTGTTTTCCAAAACCACATCAATACCTCAGTAAAATGTTTATCTTATCAACTTCTTACAAACAAATACAGATTATACTCTTCTTATCTTTCTTAACATATCAGTTTCCATGTGCTTTCAAACACGCTGTGAGCTAGAACTAAATTATCATAGACCCGTTGAGTCACCTCCAACTCAACTTTTCCTGTTATAGTTGAATTTTATTAGGTAACATGAAACCAATGCAAATATATTTAAATATCTTCAAAATATTTTTGAACTGGGTCTTCTTTGGGATTTTTCCCCTATATAATTTATACAAAAAAAAGGTATTGAAAATATTATGGGTAATCGTATAAACCATAGTTAATGTCATACTAACATTCTCTCATTATAATACTAAATATCAAGTAAGGCAGACTCATAAACAGTTTAAATGATGTTAATTAAAGACAATATGTGCACATATACTTAAAATAGTTTTTAGCGTAATTTTTAAGTGGGTGATAATTTTTAAGATGATTTTCAGGGTGATTTTCTATGATGAGAATGTACCAATTATAGTGAGAAAAACACAATATTATATTAAAAGAATATTCTGACATAAAATATAACTAAATCTCTATAGCCTATGAGAAAGGAGAATGCCACTCTATTTCGTGATGATCTAGCTAATTTAAGTCTGTTAGTTTATCATTTTCACAACCTTGCAGATTAAAATTGTGAAATAGGTACAATTTAACCAGGCTATCATTTATCAGTTAAAAAATCTATCTACTTGAATAACTGCTATTAACTTTACCCCATTAGAAATCTTTTTTGGTCTCCTTCCACATTTGCATGCACATGTATACATAGGCTAGATGGGAAATGCAAATAGATCAGTAGACATGATAACTTTCCTAAATTATATTTTGCAACCTATATGGAGACCTCCTCATGTGTATTCTCTTTGCAATTTAAATCAAATATCGGTAGAAAATATATTTTAATTGAATTTAAAATGTATCATTGAAAATCTTCAAGGTGTCGGTTAGTTTAGAAATTAATTTAATACATTTGCTAACTTACGTCAATGAAAACAGTCCAGCCCTCCCTCGGTCCCTACAGCAAGCAAATACTCTATTTATTTATACTGATACAGTATTCATTTAGCTATTACTTCTTTAAGTAAATAAAACAACCCTAACTTACTATTGTCTCAATTGGACACGCCATAATTTTGCAAGCCACTTGTGAACAATGGTTTGTTGTGGATTTTTAAAAAAATATTACTATGAGTCACAAAAGACAAGGTTAATCCTAAGGGACCGTGACATATTTTTCAGTTTTCACATTTTTCGCAACTTAGAAGGGCTACTGCCAAGCTAGCTTTTGGGACTTCATTTTCAGCAATAATTTTCTAGAGTGACCAACACTATGGGGAAATCTGTGCTAACTGTTTAAAAAAAAAAAAGCCTACAACTGAGTTATTTGCAGCACTGTCATGCTAACATTCAACTCAATAAGACCCAAGAAATCTCAGGAGAGGACTCTGCTAATAGCTTCTTACTGACCTCCTTGCATCAGGCTGGGCTGCTGACTGGTGGCCCAGTGGTGAATACGGCAAATGAGGTGTGAAAGCACTGATTTTTTTTAAAGGCTATGATTCTGACTCGTCAAAAGGAAAAAAAAAAAAGGCAATGAGTGATATAATAGATATATATTTTTCTTGAATTCCCCCCTTCAGACCCTCCATCATGGGAACTTAAGCATGACCTGGAATATTAATTATGTCAGGTTGAGCAACGAGCAAATGTACCATTTGTTACCCAGTCACCCTTAGCATTACATTAATATTTTGAACCATTCCATATTTCTAACAACCTATCAGTTTCTCTTTTCTTCCCGGTTTTTATTCTTTATTAAGTATTGTGTGGGAAAGTACTTTAAAAAATGCAGTTGGTTTAAAAACAAATGGATGGCAGATGTGGAGCATCTACTGTTTTATTTCATGGAGAATGTTTTTACGGTCATTTCCCACTCATCCACAGGCCTTCATTTTGCCTGGGGGAAGCTCTATTCTAATTTTTGCTTCTTCTCTCTGTTATTGAGGTTTACTTTTTTAAAACACGTTTCTGTAAAATACAAAGAATTTGAAACATGACTGTGTACCCTTACAGCTTCCAAAGCAGAATGACCAGCGTTTCCATTTCGGATTCTGCCATCTGAGAAATAATAATTTCTCATAATTTCCAAGTAGCTGCTTACTCAGGAATGAACAGCTACTACGTACACAGGAGAGGTGGGAGGATTCAAGTTTTACTTCTGCGAGTGACAATTACACAGGGAAGGGAATTGCGGATTGCCACACAAAGGAACAAAATCAAAAGGTATTTTCTTGGACAAGGATTCAGAATTTGTGAGTACGGGGTGGGGGGGGTGCGGAAGATACACGGTTCTAGAAAGGGGGGCTGATTAAAATATGTTCAGGTTCTAAGATTTAATAAAAATTATTTTACAAATTAGACTCTAAGCCAGCCCAGAAGAGTAGTAAAGATCTCTAATAAGCAGGAAAGTAAAAGTGGGCCTGAGAACTGTGAATGAAGTATTTGCGAGGCTAAGGACTGCTGAATCAACACTGACCAGTGCACTTCATCATCATTATGGAGACATACTCGTGCCAGGAGATTTATAAAAATCCCACTCAGCAAATAATTGCCCTGCTGTTAGGAGATAGTCAGAGTGTTAACACACTGTCACAGTCCAGTGTTTAGTAAGATATTCTACATTCAATTACTCTTGCTGAGAACTAAAAGGAAACATGGTCGTTTCTCAGCTACTACAGTTATGCTTCCACATGCATTTCAGACAATAGTCATGTTACCCGTCAGACACCGTAGCCCAGAAGGAATAAGAATTTCATGGAAACATTTAGTATTCGCCAAGAAGAGATTTGGTAGAAAACTTGTCTATATAAAGCAATATGAAAAAAAATGACTAACGACACATGCTTTTCTGTTACTTCAGTTAAGGAGAATTTTAAAGTTTTGAGTCAAAGTACAGAGTGGGGTCATGTGAAATGGAGACCCCAGATGTAGCTGGCTTCATTAGTTTAACAAATGATATTTATAAGTCATGTGGATTCTGTAATTGTTATTATCATATATTAAAATGCTTTCATTAAATATTGAATAAGACAAAGAAATTTAAATAAAATCCCATCCTCTATATAC